TAAGTTACGAAATTTGTCCCAAGCCACTTCCACTTGCCATAGCAGTGACTGTGACTATTTTACAGAGATAAACCCAGAAATTGTAGTGTTGAAGAGTATGTGTTTATGCTGGTTTATGTTAACAATCAATCGAATTTTTAAGGGTTGAATCAGCACAAATTTAAGTTGTGTTCACACATGCACAAACGTCATCACGGTCGATTTTTCTAAAGTTTCGCATAATGTGTGCCCACTTCTGACCAATCAGATTTTGCGTTGTTGCTACGTCAGATTCACCGGTATCCAACATGGCCGACCGGCTGATTGTTTACGTGTTGGAGAGCAGAGTGCTTTGTGATAATAACACAAATATTACAAAGATAACGACCTGAAGGACAACTTGTGGAGACTCATAATGTCGAATCTCTCATATGACAACGGTTTTTGTGCTTTAGAAATGGCTAAACGTCTTTGTTTTAACTTTCATCTGTGCTAAGTAACTTCAAGTTGTAAGCTAACCTGTTCAGATACAACATACCATATGTATTTTCACTGTCTCAGACTCAATCGCATTGCTGTCACAGCACCATTAGGTCTCAGTTGTTACCCTATGTTTATGGATTGTAGTTTAATGTACTTATCTGGTACTGGCCCGACTCAGTACATGCTATTATGACAGACAGACATCTCAACACTAGTGTCTAATCAGAACTGAAACAGTCAGTCTGCTGTTGTGTCAGTCTTCTTCCTTCCAACCGGGATGCGTCTTTTTTCCCCCCAGGAAAGTCGCAAAATCGCATCGCGCTTGATGTGTATAGTCAGGCACGTCAAAATTTGCCTCTGAATATTTCGTAATTTCGCGTCGTATATTTGCGTCGTTCCCGGTGTGTAAGGACCTTAACATGTCTCTTTTTAAATGGTGCTGGAATTAAACGCTTCTTTGTCTGCTGTCATGCTCTAAATATTACACTGTGACTTCTGCAGTGTGCTTTTGCCTTACGTTGCCCTCCCAAGATAGCCTGCCCACATCCTGTCCCTCCTCAGTTTGACAGACATGTTTTGGGCAAAGTTCTTGAAATTTTCAGGGGTGCATTAAAGAGTTTTATTTTTATGTAGCCAGGTTTAAAACTGAATGATAATAGACATCTGGCATGAGTAAGCAATCATAAATGAATTATCAGGGAAGATAAAAACAGAATTTATTAAAGGGAAAAACATGTTGCTAATGCCATCATAAAAAAATAAACTTCAGCAGCGTTCTCCCTGGAAACATCTTTATATCTATTCAGCTGTTTCGCTTTTTACCTTCCAGCTCACAGCAGCTCTTCCCATCTGACCTGCGAACATCAGTGGGAACAATACCGCTCCCTGTGGGCCACCGTAGCTGAAGATTGCAAACTAACACACACACAAGAGCACATACCAGGAAATCCTTAGCAGATTTTTATTTATTCAAGCCTCCTACTCATTCCTCTGCAAAAGATAAGTACAGAAAACAGAGGCTGCAGATGGAATTTTCTTCCCATACCACCCCTCTCTCTATCTCTCTCTCTCTCTGACACACACACACATGCACATAAACATGAAAGCACTTTTACTATCAACATCTGACCTTGCTCCAGAGCATTCCCCAACATGAATTTTAAACATGCACTCTCCTTTCCTGGACCTAAATGACCCCCTCAGATACCTTGAAAATTATTCATCACATTGTCATATCATAGTTGCCTCAAGCAGAAATACGAAATAGGCTCCTTACGCTGGATTTTCCTGAGTATTGATCACAACTGTCAAAATCTTCAGCTGCATGCCGGGTCTTTTTGGAATGAAAAACGTCTCTGAACCAAAAGTTGGGGACATTCATATGCACCGGCCACAACAAACAAATCCCCACCCCAAAATGTAATCAAGCATGTCCAAAGGTATGCATATGGGAAAAAAAGGTGAAGATGAAGCAATAAAAACAAAAGTTGCTGCCATAACAGTAGCACTGCAGCGACAGGTTGACATTAGCTGGGTTTTGACAGCAGTGAGAAAATTCTATGTAATTGAAGAATACTTGTCAGCCCTCGAGCCGTCAAACTGATGTCAGGAGAAAATTGCCGACCAGTCATTCTCAGTCTGCTCCTCTCCCGTCTCCTCCTACAGCTGCACACCCACTGTCTGCAGATATATACAAGCAGACCACTGTGGATCAAAGTAAAGCACAACACACTGTCAAAGGATGTCAATTAATGACACTGGTATGACTGTGTTTATAGCTTTTCTATCTCTGTCCTTTACTATCTGATACTCTATTTTGTCAGCTTGTTCTGGTGGCTGGTTTTCATTAGCTAGTTTGGCATGACACACCATATCACTCATGCACACCTGTGACACCGGGGGCTGAAATGAATGTAAATAAAGAAAATAAGTTGGGTGTGTTTTCCAGAAGCCTGCAGCAATAACAAGAACAATTCATTGATTTGACAGGTCTAACTGAAGCTACAATTTTTTTCTGCTTCCCTCTTCAGACCTGATCCCTACTGAGGAAAAATGTCATATTTTACTCCTTTAGGGTTAGGCTTCAATAACTATTAGATCATGTCTAGAGTATTGAGATTAAGCTTCACAAAACACCTGAAAGCATCTTGATAAAGTAAGGTGCCTTAAATAACTGGAATAAATGTCACATTAAAAGTCACATTAAACTGAAATGCAGTAGATAACAACACCTAAAATAGAATGAATAGATAGATTAATGCTTTGACAGGTAAAATTGATTGCCAAAATAGGCCAAAATTAAAAAAATACAAACAGAGAAAGTATTTAGTAATTTTGTTTTTCTTCACCAGTGTTTGTGTTTCAACTGAGTAGGAAGAAGAAAAGGGAAACAGTGACACTGTGTGGGCGTACTGTGTAAGTTAAGAACAAAAAAGGAGATCGCTGTGGGGAACTGTGGAGAACTAAGTATCAGAGGTCAAAAGTTCACCAGACACTGAAAAGTGGGATGTAGTTTCTTATTAGAAGCCATTATATTCTATACATCTATGTATATATTTTTTGTATTCATATCGAAACACACATGATAAAGAGTTTATAGATTATTATAATGGATTCATGAAATATCTATTCAATATAAATTGTTGGCTTATTCAAACAAATGTGTGTTTAGAGTCACCGGGTTATAAAAAAGTCATCCTGCAGTTGGGAAGTTTTCACGTATAAATTACTTTTTCTTTAATTTCTACATTTTGACTTTGTAATGATCTGTTGCAGTTACAAATGTCATTCAAAGTCCAACTTGGCAGAGGGATTCTGTTGCACACCACATGTAGAGATGTACAGCATTTAGATGTGCAGTTTAAATCCAGTTGGCCCACGCCATCTTCCACTTTCTTTTTTATGTGCACTTGTTCTATCCTCTTTAAATCCTTTAAATTTCCAAAAACTAATCAGAAAAAGGAAGACAAAGAGGTCTCTAAGTTTCAAAAAACACACTGATGAAAGCCGGCTAGTGTGCTCCATTCAAGACCTAGAAACACCTTTAGTTATACAATAATTATTTGTCAAGAAATTTAATATTTACTTATTCTACAGGAAAAGTTGTTAAACATCCCATCCTATGGTCAGATTGTTGCATATAGGTTTTGTCGACTCTAAAACATTTCCTAGACACGCCTGTTGAGCACCAAACAGCAGACTGCCAGTTTGAAAACAGCTGTGGACATTGTGCCGTGTTAGCGTTATGTAGCTTAATATTTTTGAATACTTGGTTGAGACAAATAAGATTATATTTATTGGATTTCCAGAAAAAGAGTTGATAATTTCCACTTTCTGCGAAACAAAACAAAGAAAAACTTTGGTTTGAAATTGCAGTATTAATCCCAGTAACTGATTTATCATCCACCAACTACTAAATTTATGACAGCTAACAAACTTCAGGTAAAGTTTTATTATGCGAGACATTATTTGTGTTAGCACCAAGTGAAACATGTTAATATACTGTAAGAATGTTTTATTTTTAACAATACAAAATACTGCATAATATTATTGCATATTGGTGTTTAAGATCTCTATCTGCAAAGCAACTAAGAGCATTAGATGCCTTACAATAAAGATACTTATATCTCCATATTTCTCTAAATTTGACTTTCCATTTCAAACAGCGACTGAACTCACTGCAGTTCAAAATAAATCAATTGTGCTTTTAAGCCTCTAAAAAGTAAGTGTTGAATAAGCTCTTGTAGAATCTGCAGGCCAGGTTTAGGATGTAAATTAAAATCCCTCCTCTTGTACTTGTCTGTCAGCCTTTTGCCAGAAGTTAACAGCATATAAATGATTACACTGCCCCTATTAACAGGGACATGATCCGTCACTATTACAAACCCATTACTGATGTCACCATCAGCCACATTGATGTTAAGAGGAATACTAAGTGTCCCATGATCCATTCTCATTTGAAGTGCTTTCACTTTGTAATTCAGGAGCCACACACAGATGTTTTATGTTTTTTTAATTAAGTTACACGGGCGATGTTGTATAAATGGTAACAGACAGAAGCTGCGCAGAAACACAGCTGGCTGTTGGATAGCTGCACATAGTTTGGGGTGTAAAGACAATACACAGATGCAAAGAAATGGCACAGAACAAGCTGTGAAATACACAATGTGGGCAGGTGCTTCAGTAAACATGACGATGTGACAGTCAGTGCATAGTGGTGCAGTCTTCTGGCGACTTTTGAACACTTTTTTGGCTCGGTTGCATCTGGCCTTTTGCTGTGCTCAAGTTTTGGAAAAGGTCCATGATAAAAAGGTGAAGACAGCCAACTTCCTACATGGGAAGATTTAAACTCCCTTATTTTGACAGCACACATGCCCTGTATTCTTCTCAGTTTGTTGGACATGACATGGCATCAATGCAACAGTTACAATGAAGTGAGGCAGGAAAAGTCCTGTTTTTAATAGTTTATCTTCTGTATAGGTTTGCCTGTACTATTACAAGCAACACAAGTCAGTCTCGAACGGATTCATAGGTGTGGGTTAAAAATAAGTGTGCTGAACAAAACCACTGGACATGAAGGGATGCAAGAGCCCTCCAGTGGTTGAAAGTGGGACTGCACCGGCTGTGTGGAAGATCACATTCCCAGAGTTGAAGTTGGGGAAAGTTTGGTGGAAGCCTGCCGGGCTTGAGCCACACGTGGGCGGGTTTGGACTCACATTAACCAGAGGGTTGGACCCACCTGGCTGCAAGGTGCTGTCTGCGCCTGGGTTCTGCTTTTTCCACTTGGTCCTCCTGTTCTGAAACCAGATTTTCACCTGCGTCTCAGTGAGACTCAAAGACAGAGCCAAGTTGAGTCTCTCACACACAGACAGGTAACGCGTTGTACGAAATTTGTTCTCCAGAGCCACAAGTTGCTCATAAGTGAAGGCGGTTCTGGCACGCCGAGGTTTGGTGCAGGCCTGGTCCTGTCGTCTGCGTTTGTGAGGTGAGGAATCCTGCAACGTAACAGCTGGCTCTGCATCATCCTGCCCCTCTTTGGGGGGAAAGGACTCTTGGTCCTCAGCTTGTGGGGAGAGAAGACAGGAGTCATTGACAACTGCGTGGTGTCTGGAAGCTGGAGGGGACTCTCTCTCCTTGTCTTTACCTGTAAATAAAAGAAAACATTATCAGCATGGATGCTTAGATTTAAGACACGTTTAGGATTATTTTCCAACTAAAGAGTAGGGCCCGACCGATATGGATTTTTTGGGGCCGATACCGATTGTTAGGGCGGGAAAAAATCCGATTACCGATTAATCTGCCGATTTTTACAATTTTTTATTAAGTTCTAAAAATTACATATACGGTAAATATCTACAGTATACTTTATACTGTAGATATACTGTAGGCTACTGCTCTTCAAGCCGGCAGAAAGACAGACAGATCAAACTCGGACCAGGAAAGTGTTTTCACCTACCCCCACCCCACCTCACCCCGCCAATCGGTGCCTCCGCGTCTTAACTCTCGTTACTCATTTCCAGTCCGGTCTCATCTGGAGACATGCAGCTGCCTCAGTTAGAAGTAGCTTGATCACGCCATGTGTACTGTTGTTTATTCTACACGGCTAACAGTGTAGCAAGGCTAATAGCAGGTGGCTAACTCTAACTTTAGCTTGCGTATTACATGGTGCTTCACTGTTTACTCGGCGTGACCGAGACCAGCACAGCGGGGAACATCGTGAAGGGAGTTGAACTGAAACTTGACTTATTGTCTACTTCACAAACTGGTTTATTTACCGTTGAGGCAGACCACTCTCCTCCGTGCGTTCCTGAGCTGCCTGCTTTAGATCTGTCACTCTGCTGTGCTGTGGGGTAGTTCATGGATGAAGATTGTCATGAGGTCGCTGCGCCATCTACAGGATAAGTCAAGGAACTTTTCAACTGGCGGAACATTTTCGACATAAAACCGAATCTTATTCTCCGCATTTTATTTCTGAAAATATCGGCAAAAATCAGCGAGTTTTGGCCGATTACCAATTAGTCTCAAACAGGCTAAAATTCACCGATAAATCAGTCGGGCCCTACTAAAGAGTAAATGGATCAGATACCTATCAACAATTTGAGGCTGAGAATTAGGCCTTCATATATTTTTTCAGTTGGTGTTTCACAGGCAAGACATTTTCTGAAGATGGTAAAGGAAAAAAAAAGAAAATGTTTGCATCAAGCAGTCTTTGTTCCAAAAAAAGTTATGAATTCACTTAATATCTAAGGAGATGAGATGTGTATATAAGGACTCTAGATATGTAATTCTTCCCCCTAATGGCCTAAAATGTCTGGCTCATGTGTCAGTAGTGCTGAAAGGACAGCTCCTGACAAGACACAAGTCAAGTGTCACTCCTCAAATCTGAAATCACACCTGCCTAACAAATGTCTTCCCATTGTTCCCTGCTGTTCCCCCTGTCCTGTTGGAGCAGCAGTTTAAATACCAAACACAAGAGGCCCGGAGTTGACATCTGTAAAGTGTTTGATTTGGATCCTGAGGTCGCTGGAGCGAATCGGAGCATAGATTCCGGGCAGAGAGGAGAGACTCGGTCACTAATCCTTAAATAATTTATAAACCACACAGCGCCTCAAATGTCATGTTGCGGAAAAGAAATCCCGTCTAAATCCAGCTCCGCCACCTCAGCCGTGACGTGCTAATGGAGTTTCATATTTGCGGGTGGGTCGATAAATGTCATCTATTTAAAGGGAAGTTTTAATCGAGCGATATTTAGGATCAGACATGGATGGGGTGTGAAGTTTGTACCTGCAAGGTGCTGGAGGGAGATATGCAGGATGCAGTAATGGGATATCGATCAAAGCGCGCGGAGGCATCCTCAATGGGACGATTTAAACAATTATCTGGCCTGCCTGTCCCTGTGCCAATCACACACCGGGGCTCTGGGAGTAGAAGCCTTTGTGGCTTTCTTGAAAGGAAACGCAGCCTTGGAAATTAAAGGAAGGTCATACAGAGATGACAATAAATCTGATAGAAAACAGCATCTTTCTTACTGCTGTTGAGACCCATGGAAGAAAGTTTGTATAATACGATTTCACAGTAAACACTTCTATTTTTATTCATGCTCCTTTTTTCCAGCGTTTGGTTGTGGCGATACACGAAACGGATTTGTCAACAAATCAAAAATTTTAAAAAGGATATGATACACTTAAAAATATGTTTTTTTGGTTTTCTGAAATTGTCATCTTTAATTACCTGTTATCGTGCGCTCAGCTCTGAAGTCCTCGCCTGTACCTCTATCCGGCTCCACACTTTCTCCCTCCGCATTCGGCACACAAAACTTCTCCTTCGCGATAGAAAGTTCGTTCACCCTTTTGCTGTTGAATTTTTCGGGATCCAAAATATCAATAATTGAAAAGGAAATCTTGTGAGCGGACGTCATTGTCACCCCACAGTCCTTTGGGTCCAACATCCTTGAGAGAAAAGAGCTGCTAAGATGGAAAATGGCATGCGTAATTACGCGCGTAAAGAGGAAGTTCTCATAGTTCAGGTGCAGTTCTCGTCTTCAAGCCTCTTCAAACCGGATTAGTAGTAGTGGTGGTGGTGATCCCTTGGAGTGTGGACTTCGCTCCTCTGCTTCTGTCTGTCTGTCAGTGTGAATGAGATGACCGGCGCACGCTCTTTTAAGCGTCTGTCCCCCCGGTCTCCCAACCAGACACGTGACACTATTAGTGTTTCACACGACCACCTAATGGGCACAAAGCCTTCGTCGATAATCACCCATATCATTAAATTCAATAATCCAACGACCTGAAAGGAAATTGGACACAGATGGTGCTTGGTCCATATCAGAGATCACCCTGACTCTCCCAAATGGACTCTTTGTGGAGGAGTTACAGTCACGAGCTACGGACAAACTTTCTATTCATCAAAACTAAACGTCTCAAAACCTAAGAACAGGGGCCCATTTTAAGTAATATGCATTTAAAGTGATCAAAGTTGATTTATCAAAATAATCTACACTTCAGTTTGAATTAAAACTCCTGTGAGTGTTTTTTTTAAACTGTTATGAATCAGATTAAAATTAACAGCACTTACTCGCTATAGCCAAGAGAAACAACAAAGACCATCAAAAATGACTGAAGGTTTCCTCTTTTTTTAATGGCTATAAATGCTGTGGGGAAGCAACAGCAAGAAAATAAGCCTTTTTTTACTTTCTTCATGGCAAATATTCATGATGAGTGACTGTTAAAAGAAGGCAAAAGACAAAATAATCAGAGATCAGGATAAACACAAAGTTACTAGCAGGAGCTTCAAATCTTAAAAAAAAAAAAAAAAAAAGCTTGACATGAAATGCTTTGACTTTTCTGTGTCTCTTATCAAAGTTTGTCGATATTAAAGGTAAAGGTGGTCATCATCAGGCTGAGATTTTAACACAGAAACAAATAATTGTATTGACTTATTTTTATATCTAGATGATATTTTGGTGTTTGCTTAAATCTGTAAGGTTACCAAGATGATTCATTTTCTGAGGATTTGTGAATATTCATCAAACATTAGAACTAAGAAACCCTGAAAGACCTAATTTGATTACAATTTCATCTTCCACATATACGTAACAAAGAAATACACCATTGATTTCTAGATTTTGAGATAATTTGATGAATTCACTTGATGCCCATCATTGCTACTTGCACTGTGACATCAAATGGAAGCTCCACCATAGTTTATTTGTAGTTTGTATAGTTATCTGTCTTTTTCTTTCATGAGTGATGTCCACTGAACCTTTTGGGTTTTTTTTAACTCCTAAAGTAATGAGGAGTAATGAGGAAACAGTTGAAGAGGTGACGATTTTGGGGTTGAAATTAAAACAATTTTAGTGTAACTCTTAACTCAGATTTATAAGAATCTGATCATTTACAACTTTTGTTGGTTTTTAGAATTATTGTAGGCATCTTGTGTCATTCAATATGCTCAAAAAAATCAATTTATTGCCATAGTACATCTGAAACTCGACTAGATAACATGTTAGTCTGACTAAAATTTCACTGAACCAAACTTCTTATTGGGACTTACATACCTGGATGGTGCAGTAAGGAATTGATTTCCTCTGTCATGTATATACAGCTTAATCAGACTAAAATGGCCTGTTCGGTGCTTACTCCAGATGGGCTCTGAGCTGGGAGTTAAATGACATAAAAGGATTGCTTGGAAGCCGGGTAGTAAGCAAACCACAAAAGACAAAGATAGTAGAAACTTTCTTATCATACTAATGAACAATACAGAGCTGTTTTTATTGGTCAACATTCATCCCATAGCCTATTTGGTAACACACTTTGGCAATTGTTTTGATATGTTATACCTAAATCAAGAGACAACCTGGTAGTAATGTGTTGAAAGGGACCATGTCATCATCTACAATAGTGGAGGCAAATAATGCAATTTTCTACCCAGTTCTTGTTAACTGGGTCAAGTCCAGTCCAGTTAAGCATCTATCCAACCTATGACCATAGCTCAACTGTAAACAAACCCATAGAAAACAGATAACAGGCTTACAGCTAATTTCCACTATTTGTTGTATCATGTGGTCCCTTTTCTAATACTGCAGATGCCAAAAAACAGCCAAAAGGTGGAGAACAACATTCTGAAATAAAAAGAGAAAAGATAAGTTTTCTGTTCTTTAATGTGTAGAAAATAGTTAATGCCTCATTTGTATTATGATAGTCTTTTTTAAAAGATTGGATACTCTGACTTCTTCACGTTTATGAGAGTAAATCTGTTGTGTACAGGCTCCAAAGATCCATTAACAATCACAGTTTCGCTCCTTTTAAGCATTCAAAACTAAACTGCAGTCTCACAATGAATTCAGCTGATTGTTTTCTCACCTAAGCTGATAGATTTATATTCACAATCAGTCGTCCCCCGGGTCTTGGCTATTAGTATTCAATATAAAGTGACATGGGGTTGTTTAAAGCTTGATGCCGGGTGATGGCTAAAATGGTGAAACCAGCACTGGATCAATATTCTCAGCAGGTGTCCAATACAGATAAAACCTGATGGCTACAGACAGTCAGTTTGGATACTGGACGGCCAAACCAGTAACTGAAACAGCACACAGGAGATCTCTTGAAGCTTTTCTTAGTCCTTGAGTGACCTAAAATATTTCATTTTACTCCATTTTCTCCTGAATTTCTCAAGTTACTGCAGAATAAGAGTTTCAGTTTGGTGTCAAGGATGTTTGTTATTTCTGAAGAATGCTCTTTCAATGTTTCTCTCCATGTATTCATGCATTTACATATTTTATAATGAAAGCCTGTGAGGTCTGCATTGTGTGTGGATGAGACAGACGGAAGTCAGGAGGGTCCTCAGTCCTGTCTAGAGTCTGTGACGTGGGGGATCCAGGTCATGTTTACACACTGTTTCCTCTCTACACAATTTCCTGTGTTATTCCTTCACTTCAGGGATGTTTCATTGCTGCTTCTGAGTCTGCTGGACTGGTCTGGTCTGTCGTAGTTGCATAGTCAAACATTTGTTAAAGCCGCCCCTACAGGGTGTCTGCGTGTCAACATTTGCATGTGTATAACACTTGCACGGCCATTACTGTAGTCCCTCCATATGAATAGAGCCCGCTGCACACTGGAGGTTTATAACTTCCTACGAGGAGGCCCATTGGCCAGACATCTGTTTGTGTGTGTCAACAGGACAAAGGGGACAAGCCCTGAGGACAAAAAGGCCCTCAGGTGGACTTTAGAGAGCAGAAAGACCCTGTACGGGCCAAAGCAAGACTTTAGAGAGGACGAGAGTTCCCTGTCAGACACCGCAGGGGACCAGAGAGACACACTTCCATCCAAGACCCCCCTCCAGGGTCAATAAAGTCATCACTTCACAGGGAGGCTGCCCCCAGTCTGCTAAGCGTCAGATAATTTGTCTAATGGCAGGAGAAGCACTATGAGCTTCAGCTCCACTCAAAGACTGTAGTGTCTATTGTTTTCTCTAAAGTCCTCCACTGCCTCCTCAACACTCCTGTAAAGAGGGACCCAAACAAAAGATCAGCAAGTGTCCGGTAAACCATTAAGAGAGGCCGTTAGATCCTCCGTGACAGATTCCTAAACTAGGTAGTTTTCGTGGTTTCTAAGATACAGAACAATCCAGCCTTCATGATAGTTTGTGAGAAACAAATGTAATCTACATGGAAAGAAAACTAATTTTACTAATGTATTTTCAGTGTTGAAATGGACGCCCTTCAGTGAACTGAACCACATGGTGTTGGTCTGAACTCTGCAGAGCTTTCTGCTCAAAGGTCCCTCCTTTCCACACAAAACTGGTTGCTTTTGTCCACACCATAATATTTTAATAAACTGTCCAAATGTTTCAGTGTAAACCCTCATCAAACTATTTTGATGGATTAATCCAACCTAGCTCCATTTCACAATGTTATACTTGGTTAGAAATGTAAAATGGGCTAACTTCACAAAATGGGCCAGTTCACAAAAACAGCAGAGGTAGCTATGCAAGGTACAAGCATTCTGAACCAAACCGCTTACCTTTGGGGGCACTTAGGGGATTTAGTGTCTTGTACAAGAACCAGGAATATAAACACTGAAGTTGGGACCAGTTGATTGCTTCCTATATCTCTGGACCACAGACTAAAAAATAATGTCAAAGAAGGAAGCAATAAACACAGAGTGAGTCTCTAGGGTTTAAGTCTTTTTTTTTCACCTCATCTGTACACCTAAACCTCCTTTCTAAGCAAAACAGGAAGAGGCTCAGAGTGCGTCTACTTTTTACCAAAGTTAAAGATAAATAGGGAGGAAGTGAAATGCACTTAACATGGCTGAATAATTTCATGTAAGGTGGAGAACACAATCTTCAAGGCTCAGCACATGCATTGTGCATCAAATCATTCCAAATGTAGTCCCACTGACTGTCTGCTACTTGAAGTGACTTCCTCAACCCCTACTGTCACTCCAAGCCAATATTAATAATACGTTATCATGATATGTTCAGATTTCACCTCCAAAAGACAGAAAAGAAAAGCTATTGAGTGCCTTGACTATCAGTCAACTCAGACTTGCCCTAAGTCTGAGCGTCTGTAGCACCTTAGTAGAAAAAAACAACTTCATTCAGTGTGCATGAATCAATAAATGAGCCAAAAACACAACTAGGCTGTAAAACAGACTGAATATTTCTGTATAAATGGGCATTTTAACAAATGATTTGATGGGGTTTCTTTGGCTTTTGGAGCCATAGGTTGATTTTCATGCTGTATTGCAATTCAATCAACCCCTTTGCTCTGGCTGCTCATCTCAAATGTATTAGTCAGTCATTCTCACCTTCAGTCTAGTTATTTGAATGTTGTTCCTCTCATTTTGTTCCTTTGCTGTATTAAGTATCTGCCGACTTGCACTCAAAGACAGTTTGAGTTGATATTTGCCAACAGAGATTAACACAGAACAAGCACTCTCAAAGCTT